ACCACACCAGAACCAGAACCGCGGCCACCAGCGCGCATCGTCTTCGTCTTCCGTAGGCTCAAGCGCCTCGCAATACCAGGCCGTTGGACCTTCCGCGGGCTACCAGTACGTCTCTCCCCCCGAATACCCGCCTTCGCACGAAGCTGCGCTGGCTTACTCATCGAACGTGGCTGACATATATCCAAGGTCGTTCCAGAACCATCTTCCTACACCCACACATACACCTACCCAGGACTCGTTCATGAGCGGAAACAACTTCAGCAGCAACTACACACCAAACTCGGTCAACATGGACCACACCATGTCCGCACACATGTCGATGAAGCAAGCGCTCATGGAGCAGAGTGATGACGTACCAGACTACGCACACTCGGCCGGTCAATCAGTATCAAGCTACGGCCACGACTCTCCTGCCACGCCACACACTGCACAGGACGACATTGACTTCAAGTTGCCTGCCAATGGTGAGAAGCTCTGCAGGATAGACTCCTGGCTTTTCAATCAGTTTTGTACTTACGATGACCCAGACACCCGCCCTATCCCGAAGTTCGAAAGGACATACACCGACATTGCTGCCGACGCTGGTTTCTATGAACCCAGTGCCTCCGCCCAGGCTGTGTCTTCAAAGCCAGCTCAGTCGTCGCTGCTGTCGCCATACCGCAACAGCGCCAACGAGAACGTACAGCGTGCGCTCCAGGCAGCACAGTACGCTCGCTCACAGTCGCCAAGCAGCACTGCCTCAAGAAGTGACTCACCCTTCCGCAAGAGCTCACCCTACCGTCAGCCTAGCAACACGTTCAACTCGGCTATGAACACTGCTGTTGCGGCACGTGAGCAGACCCGCCAGGCTGATGCGGCTTACGCTATGAAGTCTCAGATGCAGCCCAGCGACGATTCTGAGCCAAAGACCATCTCGCCCAAGGACGCTCTATTAGACTACCGGGAATCCGATGAAGAATCCAAAGTTCCATTGTTCCCGGACAGTGGCGCTAGCGAGTACGACAGCCAATACACCGGTGGCGACCAATATAGGACTGCCACCCAATCCAGCTTCGACACTCCATCATCACAGTCCTACCGTCGCGACAGCTGGGTAACACCACAGTTCTCACCAAACTTCTCCACTGCCCCCGCCCCATCATTACCACAGTCATCGAGCTTCACCTTCGCCACTCCATCAATACAGAACATGCACAGCATGCCTATGAACGCACCATCTCAGTACCGATCAACACCCAACACTATGTCGTCGGGCGTCGACCAGACACCTGAGTTCCCTGCCCACCTGACTTCAATGGAGTCAAGTGCGAGCGAAGCCGAGCCACCGAGCGGCAGCCAGAACAGCGTCCTTTCAGACCGCTACATTACGAAGCCAACATCGACGGGCGCCGAGTCTGGTACCTACTCATGCACGTATCATGGCTGCTCCCAGCGTTTCGAGACCCCACAAAAGCTTCAGAAGCATAAGCGTGAGGGTCATCGAAGTGCCAATCTCAGCCAGGCTATGACGTCGGCGGCTATTTTGGAGCGCAATTCGCAGGCGGGACCCCACAAGTGTGAGCGCATCAACCCCACGACCGGCAAGCCCTGCAACACTGTATTTTCGCGGCCCTATGACCTCACCCGTCACGAGGACACGATACACAATGCGCGCAAGCAAAAGGTCCGCTGCGCACTCTGTGTCGAGGAGAAGACTTTTTCGCGCAACGACGCATTGACACGCCACATGCGTGTCGTGCATCCTGAGGTCGACTTCCCCGGAAAGCACCGCAGGCGCGGAGGTAACCACGACTGAGCATGACCCGATGGCATGCGCGGTGGGATTCCGCGGAGGCCGAGCCTCTGCCGCGCTATCGCGCACCTTCCAGAACAGCCGCGACCGTTCCATGGCATGCACCTGATCATTTCACGGATCAATGCGACGCACCAAGGCTCTCTTTGAGACCGGGCGATGTTGATACCCATGCCTCTTGCATTCGCGGTCACGCGGTCACATAGCATTCAGTTGTCGCTGGTCCGAACTGAATCACCCGGCGTTCTGGTCACTTTTCTTCGACTGTATAGTATTCTGCTTTGATTTTCCAGCACATTCCTACGGACATGACTTTGAGCGACGAACCAGCGGGCGCATGGTACGATGATTTGACGAAAGAGATGGCTTCTGTATGTGCAACAAAAAAGCGATGATTTCCATAGACGACATCGCTGGCTCCAGTGGGCTTTGGTTTCGCCTGCGATTAGATTTCCTTACCTATTTTTCGATACACTCGGCTCCACTGGGAGCATTATTAATTTGTACAACACTTCACTATTCCTCAAATTGCGAAAGCCAGTTCTTCGTCTTTCCATCGTACTCAGCAAAGTTTTGACAGCAAGAGGAGGGAAAACACAAGCGGATGTACTATATGCATTGTAGCTAGCAATGATACCCCAGAGTAATGTCAGCATCAAGCAATGTTCTATCTCAACACCCAATATCTCTCTAGTGAATCCTCGTTCCTCTGTGACAGTTCGACAGTTTCTCAGCGGTCGCCATGGCGTGCATGTCCAGCTACCACCTGCTCGACATACTCTAGCCAGCAACGGTGACGCCGGTCTCAACCAAAATGCCTCCCTCTACCATCCACCTACTGCAAGCATCGTACGTCTCCTTACACCACAGCATGAACAACACAAGCTGACACCACATCAAGGTCTCACACTCTAGATTCAGCCTCTCGACCCATGTGCAACCTCATCGGCTCTGCATACCACAAACAAAAGCACAAACGTCTGCACGGGCAGCAAGTAGTTCCCACACCCAGCACCTGTCAGCACCTTAATCCCCTGCCACCACCACCACATCAACCAAGCATACATCCGACCTTGTTCCCGCGGAGACGACTCTCCGACGCACAAATGCGGGCTGAAAAGCACATAAGCGGCACAATGGGAGCGCCGTGAGATCTGGACCCAACAGATGCCGGTGCCGCCCGCGTCGGCCACGCTAGTGGGGTGCAGTAACACAGCCCTCAGCCTCTTTCTTATTTTTTTTTCGAAGTATGCATCTCCTATCAAACCCCGAGGAAGAATTTTCGGGGCATTCTAGAAGCCTTTTTTTTTGTTGGTCTTTGATGGGTTGCACAGGGTTTGGCATTTCAAAGCAAAAGAACAGTGGGAAATCGGACCGAGGCTCGGGGATAGCGATGAATGCGTCTATCTACAATGTGGTATGTGCGTGTGCCTAGATAGACTCCCTGCACTTACTCTGGTGTAAGGATGCAAGTCAATGCATCTATGATTCCATGGTTGCGTGACATGCACGACACCCGTCACTATCGAAAAGAAGAAGAAATGTGGATAGAGTAAGTATCACAATGGTATCACAACCCGGCACCAACCATTTTCAACCCCCCCGGAACCAAATTCATCAGCTTGCATATACAGACCACATGGTTTGTGTTGAAAACTTGTTATATTAAGATAATGTTGTAACGATGTAGGAAGTACTCCTTATAACCCTCCTACTTCTCTTTGTTATGAGGTTTGACAGTAAAACAGCTTGTCAAAACAACAGTTTGACATGAATGGCGTGGTTCCATTCCGCTCGGTACACTTTCACCGAGCAGACGTGACCCAACGCATGTGGGCTCCACCGAAAAACGTCGGATCTGGGCCTTGCCTACCCACGAACGACGAGGTGCAGTGCGTCGGGCCCCTGGCTTGTGGGTGCGCGTGTATCACAGTGATTCGACCTATCGGAATTGCGCTGAGGGTAATGTGGGACGCACGTTAGGTGGGTTTTTGGCGTGCTGGGGGAACCGGCCGATGCGGTTGGACTGCAGGACGTCATGTAGGGCTGAGAAGAGCGCTGGGGATCGCGCGCAAGCGATTTGGTAGTAGTATCGATAGTAACGGCTTTGACGGCAGGAACGACTTCACACATTTCGCTGGTGCGGCTGTAGAGTTCGCGTGGCTTGTTTCAGAAAACCAAGGTCGCGTTGTTGTTGTTGGCGCTGGCGTTGGTGTTGGTTGATACCTGACAAGATGCGGCTGTTGACGTCGTTTGTGTGTGTTTAGAGTTCTGGGGAAATCCGGTTCGGGACCTGTCGACGTCAGAGTGTCAGATAGCGAGGAACATCTTTGACGGAAATGGTTCATGCGTCCAAGACGTGTGCCGCGGAAGGTTTTCACTCGCCCTGGAAAGAAGGTGTCATTGTTCTTACGCTAGAAGATCGTCACGTCCATGGGTAGGTGGGTTAAGCGGTGACCCTTTCGAAGTTTGTTCGGCTCCACGCGCATGACGCCCGTTATCCACTGTTTGGCTTTGACTACATCCGATGTTCCGCGGAGCGTGCTGCGTGTTGGTTTGGGTAAATATCTCGTTGCGAGTTTATGCGCGAGGGTTATATGATGTGAAGTCATCAGAAGGGAACTGTCGCGTCAGTGTTTACTGATCATGATGCACTGCTTGTTCATGGTTGTGACACGATTGGTTCGAGTTGTTACTATGGATGCGCGCGTGCATGATTATTCCGCGGTGCAGATATATTGCGCGCATGTAGTTTGACGGAAGATGTTTGGAGATCTGAATGGGTGATACTGGACTGCGATTGTGAGCCTTCTGAGCTGTAACAAATGTGCCGCCTATTCCCAGATACTGGGGTCTTTAACAACGAGGTCATTAAGGCTTCATGCAAGATGCGCTTTCGTTCGGATGGGCTATAGCATGGGGGTCACTTACTGGAAAGCTAGTCCTACATATTGCTACTTCGCGGTTTTAAGATGATCGTTAGAGTACACACTGAGTGACCCATCATTGACATATGCAGAGGCTGAGTATATATCATACAAGGTGTGTGCTACTGACTTATCGTCTACAGGTCCAACAGCGGTATCTCGGGATCGATAACATGAATATACATCTACTGGTTTCCCAGAAGTGATTTCCCAGAATGACAGTGCAGGTTAAGCATAACCACAATGCAGCACACATAAGAGCGAGCTCTTATCCGCGTCTTCTAGATATGGGGTAACAGGTCCGACCATTCCACACTACGGTAGCTACTTGCAGGAAGTGCTCTGAGTCCAGCAAATCCTTCCACAATGATGAAGGTTCTTGCGAGACCGTATGCTCCCATGTGAAACATAACGAGCAGGTACTGAAAGAAAGGGTGTATCTGATCGATAAACTCTGTCACAGTGTTGGTTTGCGGGATACCTGCCCACCGACAGAGGTTGGGTAATTGCCAAGTGATCAAGAGCCAAAGAATGCCAAAGGTAAAGCCAACTGCGAAGAGAACAACGCATGCACCACGCGAGAGATCTCGTTCTAACACTGTGGGGAAGTGGAAATTCCACGCAAAAAAGTGTATGCCAATGAATGAGAATGCCAAAGCGGAAGCAACCAGCCCTTCGGATATGACAACCTTTCCAGGATTCATACGTGCGGTATTCTTGAACCGTGTTATTGGTACATGCTTGGCATCGTTACCGAGGCGGAACAAGTGCTCAAATCCCCACACGATGGGATCGAGTACCTGCAAGGGATCTGAAGGTGGGTTGGCAAAATCGAGCGGAGTTTGCTTGAAAGGCTGCTTGGCTGCAACTGGGTCCGCCAACACCAATACATCAGCCAGTCTAAGTGATCCCACTAGTTTCAGCGTCACCGGCGTATCAACATCCAATGGCTTGTGAAACAGATAGTAATGTGTTGGGAACGTGCAAAGCACGATGGCAACCACATCTAGCTCGAGCATGGAAATCGCCAAGTGTTGCGCGGCGCGACCAATGCATTGAAGGGCGAACCAGAGTACCTGGACTGAGGTAAGGATACGGACAAAAGCGTCGGCCTTGTTCTTGTCCTTGATGGCGTCGCGGTGAATCTTGGGAAAATCGACGAAGCCGTGCTCTACGAGATAATGAACCTGATGGGCGTTGACAGGGAAGCGGGGGTAATCTGGAGGTTCCAGTACGAAACCCCCCATGTCGGCAAAAAAGGCGTGCGTTATAGTCCAGTCAGTGTATCCGGACTTATGGAACCTGGATACCGAATGCCGTGCGGACAGGTATTGAACCTGGGCGAATGATGCAAGGAGCTCCGGGAAGAAGATGGTAAAGGCAACCCACGGTAGCTTCGTTGACATGTAAGACCGGAAGTCGTGCTTGTCGGGTACGTTCAGGAATAAAGAAGACCAGCTGCACAAGAAGACAGTGACAATGCAGCTCCAAAGGATGTCGATTGTTCCGCGTTCATTTGGCGAGCCAACCCAGCCGTGAACCAGTGTCGTGTTCATCTGGTACAGCGACGCATGTGCGGATCTCTGAATCTCGGGATAATACGAACGATGGGATCTATCGCCCGAGAAGCCTCTTTATGGCCCTCATTATCATCAACGTCAGGCTAATTTTAGAAGATGGTGCCCTCTTAACAGCATTCACTGGCCAGAGGTGTCTCATTGTTGTACAGATCGGTCAAACAGCAGTACCTTTGCATCATGAACCATCCGATATGGTTAAGTGAATTGATCTGAGTCTGGGATTGACAGCCACGCGATAATCACCAGATTGTCTGATTAGTTGTGGTGAGGAAGGAGCAAGGCTGAACCGCGCGAGGCTGTGTGGGGGCGGAGATGGCAGGAACTTGCAGCGGATGAAGGGCGGAAAGATGAGCTAGGAGAGGCCGTTCTGCCCATACCTCAGGGGCTAGATCGCTGGCAGTGGTTGTCTTTAGTATTGGCAATGTGCCAGGCTTGGATCAGACGGTTAGCATGCTGATACCTTACTGCAGAGGATGTTTTGGTTCTAGACATAATGACAGTATGTCCACATCGGTACTGAACAATTTGCCGGGCGTGATTCATCTGTCGGTACTGAACGGGTTGCCGGTATGGTAAACATATGAGTGGTGGGAAGTGACGGGGCTGATGCATTTGACGGGGTTGAGTAGTTTGACGGGGTTGAATCCTTTCACGGGCGTAAAGATTTGACGGGGCTGAATGGTCTGCCGGGCGTGGATGGTTTGACGGGGCTGAACATTTTGACGGGGTTGAATAGTCTGCCGGTATGGTAAACATGCCGCGCGTGAATGTGTCGCTGCTGAATAGTGTCGGTATAGTAAGTTGCCGCGCGTGACTATCTGCCGGTGCTGAATGGTTTGCCGATATGGTAAAGATGCCGAGCGTGAATGACTTATCGATACGGCAAGATCTGTCGGGCGTGAATCCTTTGTCGGTGTGGTAACATGCCGGTGCTGAATCACTTGCCGGGCGTGAATGATTTGACGGGCGTGAATGTGCCGGTGCTGATTCGCTTTAGGACTTGCCGATATGGTAAACATGCCGCTGCTGAATCCTTTGCCGGGCGTGAATAGTCTGCCGCGCGTGAATCACTATCGATAGCGAGTAATTCTGTCGATATGGAAAGAACTGTCGGCGGTGAATCATTCGCCGGTGTGGTAATCTCTCGGTGCTGAATTGACTTAGCACTCCCAGCTGCAGAGACTCGAACTCAGCATCCGCTCAGATACACGACCAGGAAACAGGACGCAATCGCACATCTTTGGAGATACACTCAGCGTAATGCCATGCTTCATTCAGATACACAAACGCTAACCCACCAACCCGTTATTTCAACGCCATATCCTACAGCTCAAATACAAGAGCGTTTCACCGAGCCAGGTAAAGTATGCCCCTTGTTCCCTATCTCCTGTCATATCATCGCGCGCGCCGGAAACGAAACAAGTTGTGTGTAATCGGCGGCGATTCTAGGTAAGCTTCTGCTTGATGAAGAAAGCTCGCAAATGCGATAGTTGCCAGACGCATGTCACACCCAGAATAACGAGTTGGATGAGTGTCCAGCGGACGACGCGGGAGTTGGTGTGTTCGGACTGGTCGCGGAATTCGGCCTCGCGTTCCTGCAAAAGATGTTAGCCGGTGTCTTCCTATTGTCTCTCCCAGGGATGAGTGGACGCCAAACGTACTCTCTGGAAGACCTGTTCTCTCCTCACGTCCTGCAACCTCGAGTTCAGGTCCTTGACTTTCTGCACCAGCGTCTGGACCTTGTCCTTATCCGTGCTCTCGATTCTGCTCGTCTCTCCGATCGCCATGTCCAGCGTGAACTTGACTGTGCCGTGTACGCCTGAGCTCAACCAGCCACCGCCGCTGCTGGGTACGTTCTGAGGGGTCACACAGATCCTATGTTGACCGCTATCGGCAGCGCTGAAGGTGAAGCGTCCGTTCGAGCTACCCCGTTGGGCAACGATACGGTGGTTGTTGTCAAATGTTTCCTCTACGGTAACGAAGACGCCGACGTCGGGCTTGGTTTGATAGGTCTTGGTTGCGTCGTCCCATGCTTCGGCGTGGTAGTGGCCTGGGATTTGTTAGCCGTGGGTTCTCCCGCTGACTCTGCGACGTCTCCAGGCCAGGAGACTCATATGTGAGGAAGTGTCGTACCAACCACCAGCGTGTCCTTGGGCAATTCCTCGTAGAAGCACTTCTGGACCGCTCCGTCCATGAAGAAGTGCAGCGCTTGTGACGGCACCGCCAGCGCGGCTGCGAGCAGTAATGTTGGTCTCCACATGTCTGCGATTCTGCTTCCCCGCGGCGGACTGATTGTAGCGCGGAGTTTGAGTGTTGGGTGAGCTGGTCACTTGGGAATCTTGAAGCTCGTATGCTCGAGATCACGAAACTCCAGGTGTACGTTCCGAAAGCGGTTAGACCTCCGACACGTGCCCGCGCCGCTCCCTCCGGGGCGTCTTGAGACTACAGCACCGCGACTTCACCCGCAGTTCTCTACTATCCTGCCTTTCGATGCTCAATATCTCAACAGTACTGTCAGATTATGGCGATACGCGCCTTTCGACAACTCAGTACATGAATTGTCATGGGCCGCTGCGGTTGCTGATGGTACCTAGGTAACCAAAGAGTACTGTCGTCGTAGGGTGAAAAGAATATCGTATACTACATACAGGTGGATAGATGCGAGCTCACGTAAGACTATCTTCATTGATCCAGTCGAGTCAGCGGCAATTATACCAGGAGTCGACTCAATCCAGACACCTCCGAGGCCAACCCCGCAACTACAACATATAACCTAGGTAAACAGATCGTGTTCATATTTCCAGCCGCATCGACCAAACTCTTCTCTTTTCACAGTCTTTCAATCTCCCTTAACTCAAAGATACATAACCTGATCTCCTTGAGACTGCTATCTTCACAAAATTGCACCTATCGTCAAGCACACCAACAACCTTCCACCCGGCCGTGAACCAACCAAATCCACATCAACCCAACAATGACACTCTTCACGCCCTCCCCCTCCGCCCTCAAAACCCTCTCCAGCACCCCCAAAACAATCCTCATAACTGGCGGCTCCTCCGGCATCGGCCTCGCAACAGCAACCCTCCTCTCATCCCTAAACCCATCCCACAACCTCATCCTACTCGATCTCCAACCCCCACCCCCAACCTTCTCCCACTCGCCATCCAACCTGCTCACCCACACCTGCGACATAACCTCCTGGCCCTCTCAACGCGCCGGATTCGCCGCAGGCCACGCGCGCTTCGGCCGCATAGACTGTGTATTCGTCAACGCAGGGATAGCGGAACACGGCGACCAATTCTTCAACGATGCTTTGGACAGCGAGGGCGAACTAGCGGAACCAGATCACCGAACGCTGACGCTGGATATGAATGCCGCGGCTGCCACGACCAAACTCGCCATCTACTACCTGCGGAAAAACGGGGCAGAGGGTGGTTCGATCGTGTTGACGGCGAGTCTAGCGGGGTATCTGGCTTCAGCGGGTGCGCCGTTGTATTCTGCGGCGAAACATGGGGTGGTGGGCTTGATGAGGGCGTTGAAGCAGGAGTGTGCGAAACTGGGGATTAGTATTTCGGTTGTTGCGCCTGCGATTACGGTTACGCCTATTTTGACGGCGAATAACACTAAGTTGGCCATGCAGCCTGATGTGTACGCGAAGCAGATGGCGGAGGCGGGTGTGCCGATTAATCGACCTGAAGCTGTGGCGCTGGCGGTGTGTTGGTTGTTCAATGAGGGCAGCAAGGCGAATGGTGCGGGCATATTCATCCAAGCGGATCGATTTGCGGATTTGGAGACAGGGTTGGCGAAGAGCAGGCAAGCGTGGATGGGTAAGGAGATGTTGGATCTGTTTCGTGGGGGGAGAAACGCGCCTTTGTTTGCAAGGCTGGAACAGGAGGAGGTCAAGGCGAAGATATGAGTAGTTGCATGAGGTAGGATGATGTTGTACATTCCTGCGCTATGCAGTGGATAGTGATGCTCGTAGCTAACAATGCCAATAGGGCTATTCCAGTCCCCTATCCATGTTCATACCCGTATCATTCTCCCAATGATGCCAATGACGAATGTTTTCCCTTCTTGTCAATCCAATCCCAACGCCATCGCTATGCTATCAAAAGCAGAAGACAAAAGTAGAAACCACACTCCCAGTCAAAGCCAACCCCCTTATTTCCTCGCCCGTTTGCTACTGTTTTCACTGCCTTGAGAGAAGACACTAGCGCTCCTCTTATGGCTTTGCCCCGGTGCACCTTGACTGGTCGCTCGAGACTGCTGTTTACTACTCTCATCTTCGCCTTCTGCATCCACGTCGCCATCGTCGTCTTCGCCGTTGAAACCACCCTCGTCTTCTTCGCCTTCGGCGTCATCATCGGGGTTGTCAGCGTCGTTGTTATCTTCGTGGTCGTCCCTATCGGCTTCGGCATCATCGCCGTAGTTTTTGTTGACGTCGTCTTCGTCTTCCTCGTCGTCGTTCTCCCCGTCGGCATCATCCTCTCCGCCGGGTGTCTGTTGTTGTGATTCAGGGACTTCTTGTTTTGGTTGTCCTTCGCCTCCTTCACCGCCGCCATCTCGTCGAGCCTTCATGGCTAGCAAGACCTTGCACTCTCCCTCCTCCTTCTCTCGGACCTTACGTACGTCGAGTAGTTTGCTGACTTTCGAGACGAGATTTTCAA